CACCTCAACTCTTTCCATGGCTATTTTTCCCTTAAACTACATTGTGCTTTGCAATTTCTGGTGCAGTTCTCTGTTGAAAAAGTGGCATTTTTGAATAGATTGTACATGGTAATTTCATGATACAGATGACTTATTATGGCCCATTAAAGTCAGGAGCTGCACCTCTCAAGAGCTGTTTTCACAACTTACAAGTTGTGGTCAAATTTGTCCTGAAGTGGGAGGGAGGAGAAAGTAACCAATAGTTTTTGTTTAAGGAAAGGGCTAGAGACTCCAGTTGTTCTGCTATCTTGGCTTCTGATCACTGCTGTAGTAGGTTGGACTGGTGTGCCACTAGTTCCAGTTGTTGATGTGGAGTGGAGAAAGGTTGTCCCCCTCTGCACATGCTGGATGGGTGGAACTGAATAAAGCAAGCCAGATGATAATGTAATTCAAAGCATCTGCCTCTTGTGGAGAGTTTGGGGCGTGATTTATGAGCAGCAAAGAAATGTTGTCCAAAACACGGCGCAAATTTCTGTCCTGCAACAGCAGGAGATTGGACCCGATGGCCTTCATGGCCCCTTCCAACTCTACTATTCTATGATTCTAAGCCACCGTAGATCCCCAAGTTCACAACGTCTTCTGGTAGTTGAAAAAGTCAGAGATGATGTTACTGAATAAAATCTTGGTTTTATTGTTGATAATGGCCTTGAGTATAAATTTGGGATAGGGTGAGGTGGAGTAGGGATGGCAAAACAGGATATATACAAAATACATAAATAATAAATCAAACAGAGCAGCAGCTGTACATGCCCAAAAGTTTCATGAAGGTACTTCCCTACTGTTGCACTCCTATGTAATTCTCAGAGAAAGGGCAGAGGGATAACCAGCTAAACTTTCTCACTTCAAGTGGCAAAGATGTGGAAATGCGACTTTCTTCTGACTGCAGCTACAGGGATGTCTTCAGGCAGGATTGACAACCTGGCATTCGTTCTGCAGGTATTTTGGACTGTAACTTCCATATTCTCTAACCACTAGGACATGCTGGCTGGGGCTAGTGGGAGATGTATTCCCAAACATTTGGAAAGTGGCATCTTGCCATTACCTGGCCTAAAGATGGGCAGCTTTGTATAGGGTTGTGAAGAGCATGGGAAGCTGTGGCTTAGACATGTACTGTAACAACCACTGTGGCCAGGGACAAGCACACTTAAGTAACAACCCAGTCTTTCCCCACTGTGCTGTAATCACTGGCGTTCAAGGCTGTCTTTACCCCTCTTTTTGCAGCTGTTTGGGGCCCCTCATTTTTTTGCAGCTGTTTCTCTTCTGACCATAAGAGAATATTCTATTAATTGCCATTTACTGCCCAGGTCAGAGAGAGCATTTCACTTGCTACTGTTGTTATTTTAAAACTGTTCACTGAATGTTTCTTTATGTGGTGTTGTAGTGGGCAAGTGGTTGATTGTTGATGAGTATGATACGCTTTGCTGTGTATTGGCTTGGACATGAATGTGTAGGGAAAAGCACTGAACCAATGCAGCATGTACGAATATGATTCTACATCTGATGGTTGCGCAACGTTTTATGTGGTGCAGATGGAAAAAGACTGGATTGAGATGGGGGAACATCAGACTTCTCTGGTATATTTGAGTACACAGAGCAAGGTATCTGCAGATGCTTGGACTTGCGTATGTTGTCTCGACTGATGTAATCCCTTCGCTTGATTGTACCAGTCATAGCTATCCTCATCCTAGTCTATCTGGAGGTCCTCTGTTTTGTTGCATGTCTTGCTTGCATTCCACTGTCACTGGTTTTAACACAGCTTGGCCCACATAGCTTTGTCTTTACATACCACTGGAAAGCCACAGTCTAACATTTACCCATAACCTTTGTTTAAAGGAGAGAAAGATGATACAAAAAGGAGATTCTTTTCCTGGTCTAGTCTCTGACCAGGCAAGTAGAAGTAACAGAGCCATTTTTAGCAGCTTCCACATAGCAGACTTAGCCTGGGGCAGGAATAACATTGCTGCGTGGAATTATTTCAGGTGTTCTGAGGACTGTAGCAGTAGGGTCAGTTCCCTTAGTCCTTGCACCACTTCCGTGATGGTGGAGTTACAGTGCTGAGAACACGCAAAGCCACCACCACCCTTCTTCACACTCCTAGGACCACCCCCTTGGCACACAGCTCCAGATGTGGAGGACCTGGAATTCCATGCACAAGGTTCTCCATGTCAGCAACCACACCTCACAAGAGGGACACGGCAGGGACAATGTAAGGCATCAGCATCTTCAGTCCTGTGCCCAATCCAGTCCTGTGAAACCCCAACCCTGCCTGCCTGCCTGCATGCCCATCTCCGAGTGTCTGGGCAGATGGAAGAGCAAGAAACAGCTGCTCCAACTTGCTTGCCCAGTCCTCCTCTCTGGGTGTGTATGTGCGTGCGCGCAAGAGGACTGGAGCAAATGAATTGGCAACTGTGCAAACGGGCATGATGGACTGCTCAGGGAATGAGAATCCTCCAAAACCTGGAGCCAGCATATAGGACCGGCTTATAGGAAGGAGCTGCTGATCGGTGGTGATCCTAACTTAGTGGTGGACAGTGTTGCAGTCAGGTAATTTTGCACCCGGAATGTATTGGTCTTGAGTCCCAGTGCATAGTTATCCTCTCCCTTCACCCAGCCAGTATTCCAGGCTTTGCAAATGCTTATACATTATACTCCTACATGTTAGTACAGGGATAAGTAACAAGTGGCCCAAGGACACAAATGTGCCCCTGGACATCTTTGTACATCCACCCCCACATCATCCTCACCAACCAGCAGCAGCAGCAGCAGCAGCTGTGGTTGCTGTACAATAGGTTTCCGTTGGTGCTGGGTTCAAAGCAATTGTTTAGTGCGCTGGGGCTCTGATCCCACCTGTGCTTTGCACACAGTCTTACGGACAGGTTCCTTGTCCTTTGCTTTACCTCCTATGGCAAATGTTTTGTGAGGGTGTCCAGGCATTTCTAAAATTGCTGAAAGTGCCCACGGCCCAAAAGCAACCATGTTAGAACTACTGCCCCTGATTTAAAAAACAAAATACTTGGAGCATGTGCAGGTTTGCAATTTAAACGCATTATGACTGCATGATGACAGACTTTGCTTCTACTGCCTCATGCCGTCATCACCTGCTGCTTGCTGGATAGTCAGGTGTGTGTTTGGGTGCCCCGGCTGCAGAGTCCGGTTCTTTTGCCCCAAGGTCCTACCCTAACTGTACCACTGAGTGGGTAGACTTCAGGCTTGTGAGATCTTTCCCTTTTTACTTGAATCCCAAGATCCACTAGCTGGAGCCTGGCTCAAAAGACATACACTTTGGATAAGAGACTTCTGAGCCCAGGAATGTGAATGCTGGAACCGAATACAGCTTGTTGTCCATCCAAACAAAATGCCACTGCTGGTACCCCAAGCCGCCTTCATTCCAGCCGTATAATTTATGTCAGGGGTGGGGAGAATTGTTTTGGGCCCATGATTATTAAATACCTGGGAGACAGAAATCCTTGCCGGTTTGCTGTAAATCACAGAGATTTACTCCATTGGATCCTGAAATAACTTATGCCTACCTAACCTGTAGCCATTGTAAGGGGACACCACTGACAGAGGAGTGTCTGCTTTAGCACAGGGCAGGTTCATGGCTTCTGACTAGCAATGCCTGGCTAGCGAGGACAACTGGAAAGTCAGCAGATTTACATCTGCCCAAGACTGACCTGGGCATCTTCTGCTTCCACTGCTGTCTCATGGGACACCTACTGGAATTCCTCTCCCTTTAGGCCACAACCACCCCTTCTGAGAAGCTCCACCCCGTGATGAATCACAGCTGCACTTTTCATCGTGTGGTAACTGGGAGGAGGGAGGCAAAGGACTGTGGGGTGTGTGGGAAGCACAATGTCCACTGTTGTATTTCATTTGTAATTTTAATTGGCTTATCAGAGACAAAGAGGTGATGACAGAGTTAGAAAATGGAATATTTCTGCTCTTTCTTTTTCTCAACCCCTGGCCCACTCCACTTGCTTTCTGTCTCCTGGGATGTTTTGAGTTATGCAGCATGGAGATCAGCCACTTCAAAACAAAGAGCTTCTTTTACTTTGAAACCTCTCTTACATCAAAGATTATCCCCCCACCAACATCCTCCCCCCACCCTGTAGCTGAAGCAATGCTGACCTAGCATAAAGCCATCTAGCTATGGTAGATTGGTATACAAAGGTTTTTTTCTTTCTTTCATTTTTTTTTTACAAAAAAAACAAAAACTGAAAAGCAGGATTTTCTTTGCCCTCCCTCTTCCTTTTTTTAAATGTTATTCACAAAAGTTTACAAAATAGCCTTGAAATTAAGCTCTTGGGTTGAAATCCAATCCACTTTTGCTAATCAACATAGCTAATTGGTTCGAAGATGCATTCATTATTTTGAGGATCATTACTGTGAATCATGATTCCCTAGCCTGATAAGGTTGCCTTCTCATCAAATCCAGCTTCCCCAAGGTGATTCCCAGGAGGCAAATCATGCAGCCTGCAAGATGAGGCTTGTCGCATGTGGGGCAATATTCTCAATGGCGATACACAGGCACACACAATGGCACCCCCAAAGGGAAAGGCCTTTTTGTATTTCCAAGGGACCAGCCATTTGCTGAGCAAAAAGTCACGTTGGTAACAAGCTGCCAAAGGATCCACAGGATGCCTGGGAACAGAGGGGTTTTGAGATGTTGAGCTTGGTGCTTTCAGCTCATGCAATTTACTCTTGACACTGCCTATCGTTGCAGTAAGTTCCTTTTATAACAATGGATTGTCTGTCTTGGCATAAAGGGTAATCAGTTTGGCCGTACTGATGATTTGGGTGAATAAGGGGCACACCAGGCTTTTGTCTTCTCCATCCTTCATGCTATTTGCTTTCACAGTTGAGCACTCCCCCCCTCATTTATATTTGGTAATTGAAAAGAAAAAAAACCCACCAGATCTTCTTGCCCACCCTCCATGGTGAAAACAGCAACCCATCAACCTTCAAGAGTCCAGTTGTGTTGCTTGTACCTCCATGGCTAGGAGTGTCTCACTCTTTCTCCCTTGATCCCAGTGTTGGATGAAAGTGGGATATACTATGCGCACTGAAGAAGAGCCTGTTTTCCATGGCGTACAGGTCCCTGGGCTCCCAGCTTGTGGCTTGGAGGAACCCAAGCCATAGTGGCCTATAAGGCTAATAGACAGCAACAAAATACAGAGGAACAGCACCATCAGAGTACCCTGCCTGCTTTCCCAGTACTGGTATTGAGCCTCTTTAGTCCTGGCATTGACACAGGCCACCTTGCTCTTCAAGTTTACAAAGGCCACGTGAAGGCATGCCCAGTACTCTGTGCTGTGGTGCAGCCGTGTGATATTGTATGTGTGAGTGCCAGTTGGGATACGGGCCACGCTTGTCATATCCAAGCTGGGGCTGAAGCTGGACCATGTCAGGTTAGAAGAAACTGTGTTGAGGTGAGGTTTCCAGGCAACCAGAATGTGGTAGGCCTGGACTTCCTTCACAAGCAGTTCTAGCATGTCCTCACTGAAAGGGAAAGAATGATTAACCATCAGGCGGATGCTTCTGGTATCAGCACCTATGAGATTTTGAGCCATACACGTGTACAGCCCAGCCTCTTGTGCTGTAACCTTGTGGATCTCCATGGTCCCCTCAGGGTACACTTTATACTTCCCATCTTCTGAGTAGGGCATCAGCTTGAGGCCTGATGGTGTGACCCAGTATATCTCTGGTTCTGGTTCTCCCAGAGCCCTGCAGTGAAGAGAGATATCCTCACCATCCACCACCTCCAATTCTGAAGGAAAGCTTTTGTCAGAGATGAGGGGCAGGCACCTGTCCGTCATTTCCCTGAAGGGGACATCCCGGATGTGCTTCTTCTTCAGATCTGGGGGCTCAGCGCATAATGTGGATTGAGGCTCTATAAAGCGTATGTGATTCTCCGTGCTATTGACCCAACGGATGATACAGTCACAACGGATGGGGTTGCTATGGATGCTGATCTCCTGCAGGTTAGGAAGGGACTCTAGTGTCTGCTTATGCAAGGCACTTAGTGCATTATTGTTGAGCATGAGAGTCTCCATTTGGGGAAGGTGGTGGAAAGCATTGGGGTGGATGTAGGACAGTTTAGGGTTGTTGGTCACATCTAGTTTGGTCAGTTCAGGCAGGTTGATCAAGGCAAACTTGTCAATAGAAACCAGCTCCTCCATGTTGTTGAGTCCCAATTCCTTAAGGTGCAGCATGTTTGTGAAGTCACTCTGCTTGATCCTTTGAAGCGGGTTTTTGTTCAGATCCAAGAATTTAAGACCAGGGACTTGCTGCAGGGCCCGTTTGGGGACATTGACCAGCTTGTTGTCATAGAAAGAAAGGCTTTCCAGGCTTTTCAGGCCTACTAATGCATAATCTGAAATTTCCTTCAAGTTCATACCAGCAAGAACCAAACTCCTCAGATTTGAAAGGGCCCTGAAGTTCATATCTAAAATAGCATCAACTTTGTTGCCTCCAATCATGAGAATCTCCAAACTGGGCAGGACTTGGAACCAGCGGTTGTCAACCGTCCTCAGGAAGTTGGAGTTAAGGTGGAGCCGAAGGAGGTTTCTGAGGCCTAAAAAGGCTTGGGGTGAAATCCTGCGTATTTGATTGTGGTTCAGATAAAGCTCCTGGAGATTAGCCAGGCCCAAGAAGCTGTTATCAGGCAGTTCAGTTAGCTGGTTCTCTTCCAGGTGAAGGCTCAGCAATTGGGGCATGTTCTTCAGGCTGAAGTCCAAAATATCAGAGAAGCTGTTTTGTGACAGATCTACCTCAGTCAGGTTCTTCAGATAGCCCAGTTCACTCTGCTCAACCTTGACAATATTGTTGCTTTGCAACAGAAGGATTTGCGTCCCCTCTGGCAAGCTTTCAGGCACTGTGGAGATGAACAAATCATTACAGTCAACTGTGGCTGCCTCCCTGTACACAGATCTGGGTGTGTACCATGGTCTGATCTGGCAGACACACTGTAGTGGACACTTGACCTTCCAGGGCACGACAGGAATTGCAGTGGTGGTTGCCATACAGATGAGAAGCAAGTTCAATTGGAAGTGTCTCATTTTCAACTGGCAAGTCCAACTTCCATGCAAAGTGAAAGCTTTTACAGCACACATCTGGAACTCAACATGGACTGAAAACTAGAACAGGGCAGGAGCAGACAGCAAACAGTCACTGCCTTGCTACCCCTGGGTGTTTCTGCAGCTGTTACTGTTCCTGAGGAAGGATGCTCCGTTCAGGGTAAGAAGCTTCTTCAGCTGAAGAGGTCATAATGGGTTGAGTGACATTTCTCTCTCTAGTAAGAGCTTCTCCTCTTTCTCCTCCACAGGTGGTTCATTTTTTCTTTTGCTTGCATTATCAAGGCTTCTGAAGGTTTTACCTGAAAGAGAGAAAACCAACAACTCTGCATGAGAAATTAATAGTGCACATCATGACAGGTGGAAATCAACAGTTAGAACATCATTATGGAGATTTTGGGCAGAGGTAGGAAACACAATCCAAGGCACAATGGGACAGAATTTGGGACTGAGAAGGTTTAAACCATGTGAAAACTGATCAAACCAAGTTGACAAAGGAACCCTGCAAACGTTGGAAACATTCTAGTCCCGCTTTATAATTTTCCCAACATCTGGAAATAACATACAGAAGGCTTGATATTTTACAAGCCTTTCAGGCCTTGCATCCCACTAAAGAACAATGCAATCCTGGGAGTGGGATCCTCAGGGCAGTGTCTTACCTTGTATGCCCCTGCACTGCTGAAAGCCTCCAGGCAAAGAGCCCCATGCTGCTGTGAGCAAGAACAGGCCTAAGGCCCATTTCCCCTACAGCTCTAAAAGCTCTGTTCTTGCTCGCAGCAGCACAGGTCTCCTTGCAGAGGCTTGCAGCTGGGCAGTTGCTCTTGAATGCTCAGGAGACTATAATGTTACAGCTTTGCTAGCCAGAAACCTCTCTGTTAAGAGCGTCATGAGGCCATAATAGCATGCGAGCCTTTTTAGGGTTTTTTTTTTTTTTAATTTAAAAGCAGAAAGACCCCTTAAAAAAAAGAACCCCGCCCCCCCCCCCCCGCCGCCAGCTTAGCAGTTCTTTGAAATTCTTCCCTCTGTGTGAAAGCAGCAGAAAAAATGTCTCTTAGGGAGGGAAGGATTTCATGAAAGCAAGAGTCAAAGTCAGAGTGCTGTAAGACCTATTTCTTTAGGCATGCTTTTCCTGATATACTTTTGCTGTATATCCTTTTGATCAATGTATATGTTCGCTTGGATATTTTCTATTGTTTTACAGATTATTGTGTACTATGCTACTGTTATATTTTAATGTTACGCAGTATGTACATTTGAAAAAAACCCTACATACCCTGCACAGTATATAACGCCATATAAAAGTATAGGAAGAAATTTATGAAAATACATCCCAGGATTCTAAAACAAGGGCCTTCCTTCTCCTACCTCAGAGCCACAAACTGGGTGATGCTGGGCACCTTACTATCAGGCATTAGGATTTTTTTAGTAGGGTCCACATGACTATGTAGACACCAATGCCATATGGTCTCCTAAGGCCCCAAAGCCATAAGGTCTCCCAAGGGCATGATAGGCTTCTTAGAATGCAGGCCTATTGATGGTACCTTTCCTACCCAGAAACCCCCAAGCTCAGTGGCTTCCAAGAGTCCAGTGCCAGGGAGGGAGCTTTGGAGCAGGAGGGCAGGCGGCTCCAGATGTCTTGTATCCTGGCCTCCTCCCTTCTCCATCCACTGGAATGCTTCCTTCCCTCCTCCTCTGGGGTAATTTTTCTAATCTTGTAGTGCAGCTGGTGCAGTTCTTTCCAGGGAGCAGCAGTCCATCACCCATCTCCTTACAAAAAAATTCAGGCAGCCATGAAGGAAGGCTTTCACAAAGATTCAGCCCGACCAGAATGCCATACCTGAGGACATAGCACACCTGGCTGCTGAGACGGATCAGTGTATCCTTGCCTCAGCTGATGTAGATTTGGGAGCATGTGCACCAGCAGCTAAGTGCTATGGCATAGCTGTTGTCAAATGCCTCTCCCAGTCTGAACTGGGATTCCATTTGCAGAGGTTAAATAGGAAGGGAGCCCCACCTATGTTCAGGGGTGAGGATCAAAATATGTAAAGCTGGCCTGGGTGAAGGGAAGGATCTGGGTGTGCGTGCAGTCCAGCAGCAGTGGTGGTGGGGAAGATGATTCTTCACTAGCCATCCAGGCAGAGAAAGAGCTTTCCTGCTTGCCAGCCAGTGATTGTTTCCTGGCCCTGGAACGATGCTCTGTGCTGACCTTCCCCAACCTGTTATTTTTAAGTTATTTTGGACTATGGTCTCCATCAACCCCAGCTAGAGCCCATGGAGTAGTATCAAGGGAGATGACCATGCTGGCTGGGGATTATGGAAATAATACATGCTGTTATCTGGCAGTAAAGACCTTTTAACATTTTTTAATGTCAAAATAGCTGATCCGTACTGAAGGAGATAAATGGACACAAATCAGACTTAAATGCAACTCTCAGAAAGCAGCAGGGTAGTATTTCAATCCCCCAAGACATTTTGTAGTGGATTGTAAGGTTAATGTACTTGAACAAAAAAATTTCAAAGGGACTCACCAATACAAAACTACCAGACTGGAAGTCATTAGAAAAAAATGGCCCTGTAGAATTTGGTCTCCACAGAACCTGGGGATTTTCAGCTCACCACATAAATGTTGTAGGGTTTTGGGTCTCACCACCACCTCCAATTTATTATGCTAAGCCTATTTAGCAGCTGCTCATTGGGAGCGAGCCACATCCAGGCCACATAACTCTTACAAGCATCTGACTGGATTCTGGATGCACTTGTGCTCTGCATGCTCCTGCAATCTGCCTGGTATCTCTTGCATTACTGTATTTGCTGACCTATATACAACTCAAAACAACATGGGGCAGGGAACTGAACTTTGTCCATCTCCTCTTCCCCTTGCAGCCCCCAGGGTCGCCTCTAATGCTGTTCCAGAGCATCCCCCAGCTCCCTAGAGCAGGTGCTTGAGAGGGTTGCAGGGAATCAGGAAGATCCGCTCCCATCCCTTTAGATGACCTCATCATATGTCTTACGGAGTAAGTTTGGGCCCAAGAAAACTCATGCTACAACAGAGCTCTCCATCTTTAAGCAGGAGTAAGACTCTGGTTTTACATGTGGGGAGTCAGCAGGCTAGGGAGAAGACTGTGATGGGATTCTTCACTAAAGCCAGCCAGAAGTAGCATCCACAAACAGAACGCAGGAAATGGAAAAGGCAGTTCTAGGCACGTCTACCCAGGAGTGAATCCCACTGAGCTGACTGAGACTTACTCTCCAGCAAGTGTGTATAGCAATGCAGCCTACAAAGTATGGGAAGACAATGTATCTGGCAATTTCTATCCCAGTCTTTCCATAATGGGGAACTTGATATAGATCATTCAAAACTATTTTAAATTGTAATTCTCATCATAAGGCAGAATTATTAAAGCTAGGAATAACTCAGCAACAGCAACATGGCATCTTAGAGGTTAACTTTAAGCCAATTCATACGCTTTCTCATATGGTAGCTACAAACATACACTGCATGTACAGATGTGTGTGCAATGGTTCCCTCCCTGAAGTTCTTCGTACTGTACATGTGGGCAGGTCAAGTGCTCCTTGATGCATGCGATGGCACGGACAGATCCATTTTGCAGGCTTGCTTCCCATTCATGTGCACAGCTTATTGGCAAATAAGATGCCTGAACAGGGCTCTTGCCTGTTTTGTTAAAAGCAGATTGTAGAGGCTGAATTCAGAGTTAGGGTATGGAGCAAGGCCACTAATACTGGTGTTTGGGCATCTATGACTGAATACTTTGGCACAATTGAAACTTCACACAGAACCTTTGGCCTGCAGCCTGATCTGGTCCACAAAGGTTATTTATCCAAGACTCACAGCATCCCTGGATTCCTCAAGAGGATGGAGGCCTGGAGGAAGCACCAGCTGAGTCCCTGTGTAATAGTTGATGACTGAATTGCGGGTGGGGGCTCTATAATGGGAGATGTCTATAGACAGGGAATCAAAGCTAAGGGAATGTTTGCACGATTCAACAAGTCTTAGGCATGTTTACGGAATTCTTTCACTCAGTGTATCTGAACATAGCAGGGAGAGAGATGTCATGTGCATGCACAGCATTTAGTTCTTTTGCTGAGAGGGATGCCCCCCCCCCACGCCATTAGGCAGAGAGAACTCTCGATGGGAGATGTTGGGCTGTGGGAAGCAAAAACAAAAAATGGCCAGCCTCCGAGAGGCTGCTGGCATGGTGTAGTGGTTAAGAGTACAGGACTGGGACTCAGGTGACCTGGGTTCCAGTCCCCACTCAGCCATGGAGCCAACTGGGTGACTTTGGGCCAGTTACAGACTCTCAGCCCAACCTACCTTGCAAGTTCTTGTCATGGGGATAAGATTGAGAACAGGGAGAGAAGACTGGTGTGAGCCACTTTGAGTTCTTGGTATGAAAAACGGTGGGATGTAGATCTAATAAGCAAGCAAACAAGCAAGCAAGCAAACACACAAACAAAGGAACCTTCTGGCCTTCTGAAACCTGCTGGCACATGCTGTGAAGTACAGGACTGGGAGTGTACAGGCTGCTGTTCTCAGGGACACTGCCCCAGTTCTGTCTGCTTTGGTCTGCAGGGATAGGGAGAAACCATGTTGTCCTTCACAGCAAGCTGCAAAATGTCTTGGGCCAGCCCTGAGTGTAAAGGTGATTTAATGCTTTTCTAAATAATAGATAATTCCTGCACATAGAAAATTGGCATATCAAGGAAAAGCCTAATGTACAGTCCTTCTTCCTGACATCTTAGTTTTTTCTTGGTGCAAAGTATTCATGTATAGCACCTGAAAAGTCTTATTAAAGACAATAATCTTTGTCTAGGCTTCCTGTACAATCTGCCCTAGATCATTTTCTTGCCTCCTGGACATGACAGGATCATATAATTTTTCCTTTGAAAGAGGAAAATATATTGTTTTGCAGAGTCCTGATAAATGTATGGAAAAAGAAAAAGAAGAAAAACATCCAGAGAATGGGAAAAGAAAGATGAAGGTCCATCACCACAGATGTGAAAATCAATATAGCCTACCC